CTTCCCGTCGTACTTGGACGGCAGCGTGGCCGCCCGCTTGTCCACCATGGGACCGCTGTACTGAACGCCAGTAAGAACTGTGGCGTTTTGGGCTGAAGTCCCTGCATTTGGGACTGCGACCAGCGCAGAATTGCCAGTGCTGCCGCTTGAGGAGCTGGCACCGGTTCCTGTACTTGCCATAGTTCCGCTGGCCCTTGGAACGAGGGCTGTGCTGGGCTGAGAGACTGGGATTACAGCAGATCGAGGGTTAGGAGGGCGGGGGGCAGATAGTTGGGACTGTTCAAGGTTAATTACCTTAGCCTGCAGCTCTTGGTTCCGCTGCTCAAGTGCTGTCACACGGGACTCGAGATCTTCCAAGTTCCGCAGTCGGACCAAGGCTGCAACGGCAGCAGCTAGCCTCTCCTGGAACCGGTCAGCATTGGCTTCCGGGACCTGTAGGAGGGCCTCCTGCGCAGCTATGCTCGTAGCTCTAGCTGCTGCCTCCACCTCCCTTTCCCTCTGTACGGCATCATCATACAATTTTTGAAAGAACGGTTTCTGACTCTCGTCTGCTGCGTCCAGCGTGGCCTGCCATTGGTCAGACGTGATGACCGCCATGCTGGAGGAAGGAATGTTAGTAGTGCTCTCAAGAGGGGTCCGCTCTCTCCTTACGTTTGGACGAACACTCCTCTTGCCCCTCCTCACACTCTCAAACAGCACACCTTCTCTCTCCCTTGCCTCTCTTTTCGCTGTCTGCGCACGCATCTCGATACTGGACATAGATAGTTCGGATAAAGGAAACAAACAGAAAACCACTCAGAGAAGAAGGTAGAACTCCTAGCCGGAGCGGCGAATCATTTGGACTGAGAACGTGGCACGCAGCAGAAGAAATAAATAAAATAAAAAAATAAAACAACAGAGAGGTCTGATTTATAGAACGGGCCCGATCAGATCAGCTGTAGATCCCCTCTTGTCTAACCTGACAGAGGACGTGTCAGCACAATGAATCAGACGAGGAAGACTAACTGCAGCAATGGAGATTTCGAGGGGTGCAGATGGTCGCCGAGTCAGACGCGGGGCAGTATGTGATCACACGCGGTAAGACCAGTCAAGATCCCCTTGAAAGGAATGCCCTTGCTGTCCGTGTGTCCTTCAGATTCAGCACAGCAAAGTAATGCACCGACGGCAGCAGATCTGGGCCCGAAGGTCCTGTCCCGTTGGGCCTGGTCCCACTGGGTCCCGAGGGGTCCCAAGTAGGCAGTGGACCAGGACCAACGTGATAGGGGTGCCAAGTCGGTCCCAAACTGCCTCTACCGTACTGAAAAGGAAAAAACAATTGTCAGCAAGAACTCACTTCTACAGCCGTTCAGAAATGAAAAGACAATGCACCGTAGAAAGATATGTCATTTAGAGTAGATACATCATCCATCCATCCATCAGGTGAGAAAGCAATCCACAAGCTCACACACACAACCAAGACCGCAGAGAAGAGGAAGAGAACCCAACACACCCCCAACAGGCTATGAAGCACCAAGCAACCTCCCACGGGCTTACCCAGGTCACACGGCACTTACCTGTGAGCCCGGCCTCCAAAGATGGATAACGAGTCACTCCCCTCTCATATAAGTCCTCCTGACCCCTAGCTACCACTACACGAAGTGTCCTAGCATGACTAAGAGGGCCTTCCTACACCCCTGTT